GGGCTCCCTGCTCAGCGGGGAGTCTGCTTCTCCCTCTCCCGCTCCCCCCTCTTGTTCTCTCTCTCTCTCTCTCTCTCTCTCTCAAATAAATAAATAAAATCTTTTTTAAAAAAATTTAGTTACAGCGAAGCTGGGGTTAAAATTTGGTTATGCAAAAAGCCAAGAAACAAACAAAATTGGGGAGGCAGTACAGTTTAGTACATGGCAAAAGAAAAGTAGTTGCTTATTCGTTTACTTCTGGTAGAGCAACTCCTGAAAAATGGGTGGTTTTATTTATTTTTATTTTTTATTTTTTTAGAGCGAGAGAAATCGTGGGGGTGGGGGCGTACAGAGGCATAGGGAGAGAGAGACTCTCAAGCAGACTCCACACCCAGTGCAGAGCCCAATGCGGGGCTCAATCCCACGACCCTGAGATCATGACCTGAGCCGAAATCAAGAGTCAGATGCTGAACCGACGGAGCCACCCAAGCGCCCCAAATGGGTAGTTTTATAAACCCTGGTACAGTGCCTAACAAACAGTGCATATAATTAACTTCGGTTTTGTTTTGTGTTAGAAATACACCTCATGAGATGAAAATTTTCTTTATCCTTTTTATTACATGTGGGACCATATATAAAAAGGGTCATGTATATATAAACCAGTTAAATCTCGGGGTGTTGAATAAGTAATATTCTGTATGGGAGTAAGAAGTTCTGGCTCGGGTATTTGAAACGACATTGAAGAAGGTCGTGGACAGGGCGCCTGGGTGGCTTAGTTGGTTAAGCGACTGCCTTCAGCTCAGGTCATGATCCTGGAGTCCTGGGATCGAGTCCCGCATCGGGCTTCCTGCTCAGCAGGGAGTCTGCTTCTCCCTCTGACCCTCCTCCCTCTCCTGCTGTCTGTCTCTCATTCCCTCTCTCAAATAAATAAATAAAATCTTTAAAAAAAAAAAAAAAAAGAAGGTCATGGACACTACTGTCCAATAGTTATACAGAAAAATTTCTCTGCCACTTGGGTTGTGGCCGCGGAAGCTGGCTAACCTTTTAACCCTCACAGCGGCCTTGCTGGTAAGAAGGCAAATCCAGTTTGACCATTTACTTGATGACTGTTTATTGAGCATTTACTGTGTACAAGGAAGTATCCTAGATCCTGGGAATAAAGCGATGAACAAAACACATGAAAACCTCTGCTCTCATGCAACTTACGTTTTGTACAAGAGGGACGAGGCAGGACTAATCAAAAGCACAAAGTGTGAGGGCAGATTTAAAACACCCTGGGGTTCAGGGGTGCCCGGCTGGCTCAGTCAGAGGAGTGTACGACTCTTGATCTCCAGGTTGTGGGTTCGAGCCGCACGTGGCATACAGAGATGACTTAAATAAATAAAACTTAAAAATAAATTAATATACCCTGGGTTCAAACCTGGTTCCGCCTATTTCTGTTGCAGACTTTGGATAAGCTTCTTAACCTCTTCTTGATCTTAACCTCTTAACTTTACCTCGGTTTCCTCATCTTGAAAAGGAAGTTAATAGTGAGGATTAAATGTGTCAGTGTATGGAGGTGCTTGGACCAATGCCTGGCACATAGTGTGTATAAAATAAAATGAATATGTTCAGTGTCAACAGACTACATGTCCCAATTAGATTTTCAGACTGAAAAACAAACAACCCAAAACCCACCTGTATGCTACCTACAGAAGGCACATCTAACTCATAAGGTATAAAAAAATAACATACCTCATAAGGTATAGACAGATTGAAAATAAAAGAATGGAAAAAGATACACCACCCACGCACTGGTTGACCAGTGCCAGCCAGAGGAAGACTGACTTTCAGGCCAAAAAAACCCTCAAACTATTAAGCTCCAGAAGGTCAACTTCATAACATTAAATGCTTTGAGTAACAAACAGCCCAGTTTAAAGCTGTAGGACTGTCTGATCTCAAAACATAAAAAAGGTTATACTATTAACCCTTTGCCATGAGTATGTACAAGAAATACAAACACATCACTGTTGGGGGAGATGTTTAATGCACTTCTCTGAATAACTAGTAAAACAAATTAACAGATTCAGGGTAGAATATTTAAATAATATAATTGACAAAATCGACCTCAATCATGTCTATCCAATAATTGCATGGTGCACATTCTTTTCAAGCACACACACAACATTTCCAACAATTGAGCATATCCTGTTTTCACAAAGCAAATCTCAACAAACATCCAAGGGTAGACACCATTCAAGGTGTGTTCTCTGAAGCCTGCAGTAAAGCTGGGTACCAATAACAAACATTTAGAAATTAAGAAATGTAGCCCTAGATAACTCAAAGACTAAAGAAGAAATCATAAGAGACATTGGAAACACATACCTGTACCCTGAAACAAATAATACATTATATGTTAAAAAAAAAAAAAAAAGAAATACACTGACAGCACAACAAAGAGGAAAAAAAAGAGAGACATTGGAAGATACTGGAGCAGAGCTGAACCTGAACCCATATTCTATACATCAGTTACTGGGCTGTCACTAAGGCAACACTCATAAAGGGAATGATATCCTTCCGTATGTATTAAAAACAAAAAACACTAAACATCAGTGAGCTAAGTGTCCATCTCAAGAAGTTAGAAAAAGCACAGCAAATTGAACCAAAGAAAACAGAAGCAAGAGTGTAAATTAGTGACATAGAAAAACATACGCACTCAACAAAGAGGATCAACAAATCCAAAAGTTGGTTCCTTGAAAAGATGAACAAAATTAAACTTCTGGAGAGACCTACCAGGAGAGACAGGAGGAGAAGAATCAAAGGTAATGAATCTCGACAAGTCTTTTGAGAAGTTTTGCAGAGAGGTAGGACAGTAGCTTGAGGTGTAGGCATAAAGTCAAGAGAGGAATTTGGTAAAGGTAGACACTACAGCTTGTTTGTAGTAAGAGCATTTATTCATCTCAGATACTTACTGAGCATCTACTGCGTGCCATGTAGTGTCCCGCCACTGGGGAGATACCAAGTTAACAAAAGAGCTTGAGCCCGAGAGCTTCCATTCTAGTAGGAAGAGACCGACAATAAACAATAACAAGCATAGTAACAACTTACATAATGTTGGAAAGCGATACACGCTGTGGGAAAGAAGGAAGTGGAGAAAAGTCAGGGGGCGCGGGGAGTGCAGGTGGAGGGGGAGGGCTGTAGTGGAGATGGGACCTCAGGGAAAGTGAACAGTCAGTACCCACAAAGGAGCAGCGGGTCAGAAGGGCTCAGATGCGAGGGGATGGGCCCAGGCCTGGTGAGGACTCATGGAAATTCTCTTCCTGTTATTTCTGTATTTTCAGTTAAACTATTTCCCATGACTCAAAATAGGGTTTGGTTCATTGGTCTTATGTTGTATAACAGGTTGAGGCTGCCTTTTACTGAAGCTCATTAAAATTGGCCCCCTTACCAGCTGCAGAGTCATTTGCTCTAAACTTTTAACACCTCGAACCCTACTGAAAGTCTCTCAGAACCAGAGTTCAGAATTAATAGAGCTCTTTGGTCCCAGAGATAACCCCAAGCTTGGCTGCAGCACTCCTGTGGGGATTCATTTACTCAGGTTGCTGTGGGCGGGCCGCCAAGACGATTTCAGGAAGGGTGTGGGATCTTGCGATATGTAGCTTTGAGGCTCAGTTACCTGCCTGTCATGGATACCAACTGTGGGTTTGGTTTCTTAATAGTTGAAAGAGTGTGTAATAAAATTTCCAAAGCAGTTAACCGTGCTTCTCCATGAGGGGAACATATGGTAGCCCACAAGACCAGGATGCGGGCTGGAGCTTCGGTTTGCACGAAAAATGTGCGCCTGGGTATTTGGGCTTTGTTTGTTTTTGTTGTTGTTTGGGGCAAAAGGCAAAGGCACAGGATTGATTTATGTTTCTCAGTTGCTGAGGGCAGAGGGAGGTACCACATACCGTTCAGAAAAGGCAACCGAAATTTTCATATCCATCTCTGGATTATACAGACCTCGGGAGCAGAATTCTTACGGAGTTTTAGGATGAAAGTCGGCCCCAATACTCCCTTCCAACCCACGTGGTGACATCGCCTTCCCGCGCTCCCATTCACACGGCATGCAAGATGATGGGAGAATACACTAGGCGGGTGACATTCACCTTTACCGTGTCCTGCTCCCTCTTTTTTTTTTTCAGAGATGCCATAACAAAAATGAAAGATGTTTACCTGAAGAATCCTCAGATGGGAGACCCAGCCAGTTTGGATCACAAATTAACCGAAGTCAGCCAAAATATAGAGAAACTGCGGCTAGAATCCCAGAAATTTGAGGTATGAAAACGCTGTGGGTGGTGAAAAGCTCTGTTGGAAAAAAAAGAAAGCGAGGAAGGGCTGTGGATGCTGTAGAACACCAGCGATTCGTGCAAGAGATGCAGCTGGAGGGTGTCGGGGGGGCTTGGCAAGTTGTGATAAAAGGAAAAGTGGTCACCCACCAGCTGTTCTGCCCCTCGGCATGCCCTCTGCCCAGGATGTCCCCTAAAACCGACATGCACGGTTGTATTTGGACGCGTTGTTCTTTGGTTTAAGTGCTTCGCTTAGTCGGTCCTGTTCCAGCGCCTGTTGATAATGGATATAGCTGCCAGTGTGCCCTTGTGAATCCAGAAGTGAAAAAAAATCAAGTCAAATACGTTATGGTTCTTACAAAGGACCCATCATCAAAGGGTCATAGAGGTGACAACCTCTGAGAGACACAAATTAGAAATGAGTAGGAAAAATAAATAATAAATGTTTTAAGGAGGGAGAGAGAAGCACTCGAGAGCTGTGGACAGAAGGCTTCTTTTACCCACAAATTTCGAGGCTACAGAACATGGAAAAATATATCAGTGACTGATCGCTCCAGTCGGAATCGGTTACTTCTAGCAACGAAGGGTCAGATGCAGCTTTTTAAGATTCTTCCTAGAATCCGTCAGTCAGTTACTACTGTTGGAGGGTTTAGAACCTAGAAATGTTCCTTCCTGGTCATTGTTATCCTTTGGCCTTTTTTACACTATTTCAAATGTTGCCCAAGATAATTTTATCTTTTATCTTATTTGATTTCCTGTATATACGTTTCTTTACTATTAAAAAGAGTGACATACTCCTCAAAACAAGAAAAGGTGAGTGTAGCTTTCACACTGAGTCACCGCTGACGTGCGGCGGGAGTCTCCTCTTCTCCGGTGGGACCTCACGGTCACAAACTTTTGGAACCAGAAGGAACTAGAAGCGACTTACCTGAAATCACACAGCTGTTTTAAAAAGCCCAAGAGTAGAGGGGCACCCGGGTGGCTCAGTCGGTTAAGCGTCCGACGCTTGATCTCAGCTCAGGGCTTGATCTCATGGTTGTGAGTTCAGGCTCTGCATCGGGCTCCACCCTGGGCATGGAGCCTACTTTAAAAAAAAAAAAAAAGTTAAAAAAAAAAGCCCAGGAGTCTAACACAGTCCAGCGCTCTTTCTGCCCCATTGTGACAGTTGCCTAAACACGTTTGCTTCTACTTCTCCAACGTGAGATGCACTAGGAGCAGTTGCCTGTGGGTGCCTTATACAGCTGAATGCAGAGACCCTAGAGACCCCCCCGTGTGGTCCTTCTCGAGTCTCAGCTTCAGTGACCATTGAGCCCCCCGAATTTGGGGCCTGTAAGACTCCCTGGCCGGGCCCTCAGCTGAGCTCAGAGCAGCGTCTTTGGTGGCTTTTGCTCGCAGGCCTGGCTGGCGGAGGTGGAAGGCAGGCTGCCGGCACGCAGCGAGCAGGCCCGCCGGCAGAGTGGAATGTTCGACGCCCAGAACCCGGCCACGGTCAACAACTGTGCCCAGGACCGCGAGAGGTACAGTATCTGTACCGTGCCTGGCGTCCGGCGGGGAGCAGGTTTGCTTTGTGTTCGGGGCCCGATTCTGGAGGCTGCAGACGAGCGTGCGGCACTTGCTCTGTTGCCAAGAGCCCAAGAGGCCTGACCTGCCCCTTCCCCACCGCGCGGGTCCCCAGTGCCGCGTGGGGCGGCGACGGAGCACGCGGGTGACCTGCGATGGCCTTGGTGACGGCAGTCCGGGGGTGGGGTGCAAGCGCGTCACTGGGCAGTCGCTATAGTTGCTGTGTGGTTTCCTTTCTTGAGCAGCCCGGATGGCAGTTACACGGAGGAGCAGAGTCAGGAGGGTGAGGTGAAGGTGCTGGCCACGGACTTCGACGACGAGTTTGATGAGGAGGAGCCCCTGCCCGCCATCGGGACCTGCAAAGCCCTCTACACGTTCGAAGGTGACCTGCGTCCGCCCGGTTCCCCGCTTGCGCACGCTGTCCCTCCTCCTGCTGTGATCTTCTTCCAGATCTTTCTCTCTCGTCTTACCCTATCGTTCTGCTCACCGTCATCATCATCATCATTTGGTTCATGGCTGCACGTTTTGCCTGTTGGTCCGTACAATGGAACAGTTTCCGTGCAGCTTACTTGTAGCAGATAGCGTGAAATGATGATTTCATCCGTTCGTCCAGTATTTCCGGGAGCTCCTGTCTTGTAAAGCCCCCAAAGGGGTGGGATACGGGCGGGTCGGTGTGGCATCTGCCCCCGGAGAGAGCAGACACACATTTGGGGGAGGTCAGCTGACAGCACTTACAGAGGTGGGGTCCGGAGCCATGGGGGTTCATGGGACTGCGAGCTCACTTCCTTAAGAGAATTAATTCAGGGAACTCTCCAGGCTGCTCTGCACCCGAGGCAGGGAGGTGAGAGAAGCAGGGGCCCGTGTGGCTGGAGCTTAGACGTCTTGGGTAGGAGTAGTGGAATCTGAGGCTAGGAATGGTGTCCTTGAGCGGGGAGGTGGGCAAGAATCGTTTGGATTGTTTTGGGCCACAGTCGAGGAGCTATTGAAAGCGTTTGAGCAGGGAGTTGATACCGTTAGAGCTGTACCTTAGGACATGTATTGTCCCGTGTGTGGGCCCCATCGGAGAACAGGGATGAAGGGCTCGAAAGACTAGCCTGGAGTTGCCAGAACGATGTCCCGTAGAAAGATATTAAGGATGCTGTGGAAGAAGCGTCCGAGCTCAGGGAGGTTTGCGAAGCCCTGGGACAGATGGATCTTCCAGAGCTCCTCACGACAGACCACGTGTTCAGTGCGACAAGAAAGCACCAGGTTCAATGTCGCCAACTTAACCCCATTCCCGCGCCCCGGCTCCCCCCCCACGGCCCCCCTGTGAGCAGCTCCCCAGACAGTCTGCCCTTGAGAATTCTGTGTGAGCAGTGGGGCGCTATACTTGGGCAGTTATCTTAGCAAGTGGTCGTGGGGACCCCCGTTATTAAAGAGTGGGCCCAGAGAGGTCACGGTCAGCAAACTGCTCAGGCCCCTGGCTGACTGGAAGCAGGGAACAAAGACGGGAGGAAAGGGAGCGGATTCCTGAAGGTGCCCTCCTGGGGGCCCCCTGAAGTGGAAAGGTAGGAGAAAGATGTAGTTTGGGAAGAGACACAGCGAGGCCAGGTTTAAGAGCCAGGGCCGACGTTGGAAGTGGACACATGTTTCGGGCCCAAGAAGGGGAAGCTTAGCTACCGGCAAGAACCGGGATGGGAGAGAGAGAAGTGGGGATAGTGTCTGAAAAGGTGTCATTTGAGGCCACAGGTGGTATGCTCCCCGTGAGAGACAGAGGAAGGGCAGAGCAAAGATGTCCCCTGGGGAAGCACCTGGCTTCCCGGGGTCGGGGGGAGGGGGCGGCTCTGGGGTAGCTGGAGAAGGGTCCCGGAGAGCTGCAGTGGGGGGCCTGGAAGCTTCTGCGTGGTAGGAGGAGCCCTTGCAGGGCAACGGGGGAGGGGTCCGTGCATCTGTCGCTCGCCCGCTGCACCTCTTTCATTGCCAAGCTCCCTGTTTGTGCTCCGCCTGGATGTGATGAGAAGCTGACTTATTCTGATCTTGCTTCTCCAGGTCAGAATGAAGGGACCATCTCCGTGGTTGAAGGAGAAACACTGTACGTGATCGAGGAAGACAAAGGCGACGGGTGGACCCGCATTCGGAGAAATGAAGACGAAGAGGGTTATGTCCCCACTTCGTACGTCGAAGTCTATTTGGACAAAAATGCCAAAGGTGCTAAGACTTATATTTAATACAACTTAAAAAAAAAAAAAACTGTAAAAAAAAAAAAAATTGGAGTTGTCTCTCCCCACAACTATGACTGTTCCCGACGGTTCTTCCAAAGCGTGGCTGGAGGATACCGGACCGGAGTGCCTGTTGTCACATGGCCACGCGGTGGGCTTGTAGGCATTCGACACCCGAATTTCAATGGCTAGTTTTGACTATAATCACGTTTCACTTGCTCATGAAATATGACGCGGAAAGCTGCCAACTGCCAATTTACAATTCTGTCATTTGAAATCGGATAAACAGTTCTTCTGGCAGTATCTGTAGGTATCCAAAAAAAAAAAAAGAAAGTTGCCTTCTAGCTTCTAATCGCTATTTCTGAATTTAAAGGTCCACACACATCAGAGGGGTGGGTAAGACTTCAGTTCTATCTCCAGTTCTATCTCGCAACTGCCGTAAATGGAACCCCCTTAGAAAGTGTTACATTTTGTAACTTAATAACTTGAACTACGCTAGTTTGTTTAATCTTACAATCATTTGCTTTGGAGGAAATCATAAATAAAACCTCCCCCTCCTTGAGGAAAGAGTAAGACGAGTCCTATATTGGTACTAAACGTGTGTATTTTTCCTTAAACGTGTTTAAGATCATTGGTAGATCGCCGTGATTATCCTCTCCCCTCCGCACGATCCCAGACAACCGACTGAAATCTGGAAAAGCTTGGTTAACAATTAACCACTTGACTTTTACAGGAGACCACTGAGCTCCCCGCTGCCACTGACAGAGTCGATCAGATGCCCTGGTGCTGTTTCGATCACTTACAAAAAACAGCGTTTCTGTTGGAGGTTTTGTGGCAAGTGGAGCTGTATTCAGCTCACACTTCCCCAGGTGGGGCTATAAATAGCAGCAGCTGCTTCTACACGCAGACCCCAGCTCCTCACTTCACAGAGGTGTTTGGGGTTTTTGGTTGGTTGGTTTGTTTGTTTTTAATCCTTGACATCTTTAAGACCCAAAATATGAATTTACTGAAAATCGTTTTATATAATGAACTATAGCCAGACTAAAATAAAGTATTTCACCATCTTGAAAGGGATCTGGGTCACGTGGGGATTTGCATTTTTAAATTGGCAACATAGGTAATGAAATCGATCACATGCATAGAGATGGGTACCCAGCCCAATGTGTGTGCCCATTTCAAGAATCTACCCTGAGGTCACGGAGAACCAGCTATGAATGGCTCACAATAAAGGTGTCAAGTTCCAATTTACTTTTTATTTGGCTTTGAGAATTATTTATTCATGTCCTTCCTACTTTTAAATAGGAAATTAGCTCCTTGCTTTTACATCGTGAGCTCCTTTTATAAGCTCAAGTCGATTCAAAGCTGATTCTACCAAAAAAAAAAAAAGCCGGTTTAAAAACCAACAGCTGCTTATCATCGGGGTGTGGCACCTGGCCAGAGTTATAGGTGCTTGTTGTAGATTCTAGCAGAAAGTTTGCTACATTCCCCAAGGACCACCAAAATGGAATTTAGTAAATGTTAATGACAGCCTGATTTTTAAAACACGTTTTATTGTTAAGTAATGACAGATTGCCAGGAAGCTGTAAAGACAGTCCAGAGCCATCCCGTGTACCCTTCAGCCGGTGTCCCCCCAGTGGTGACTTCTGACGTAATGGTAGAATAATGCCCAAAGCAGGAAACTGACATCGGTCCGCCTGCTTATTAAAATATCATTTTGTGATTCAGATTTCTCTTGCCTTGTTCTACCTTTGCCGATGTAATGTCGATAAAGCCATTCACCCTGGACCCCAGACCTCTCAGGAAAATCATTTCTGTTCCCCTTTTTAAATATTTGCCACAAGTAACTCAGCTGGCCCTGAAACCACGGGGATCCCTCTTCACGAGCTAGGGGAGGTTACAGCACTAGGCACGGACCCAGGCGAACGGGGGACCTCAGATATTAAAACCGGAGCTTTCTGTCCGATGATGGGACTCATTTCCAGCCTGTGAACTGCTACAGGAAGCAAACCAAACACTGAAAAAGTCTTAAAATGGCCGAGACAACGTGAGCCTTTGGAAGCCTCCCTTGGAAAGTATGGCATTCCATGACGTTGTTGTGGGCTTATTTAGGTTTTTGTGTTTTTTGTTTTTTCCTTAACAGTTGTGCAAATTTGATTCAGAAAATGGCTCAGTTGGTTTATGGGGGGCGGGGGGGCGTGTGTGGGTTTGGGCGTGTAATTGGATGCTCATGATTTTAAGTTGTGTGCCTCAGGCCCTTAGCACAGGCAGCTGCGGAGGAGGGACAGAACAAGTGTGCCTTGGTGCCCGCCGCCGGTCAATGCACCGAGTATTAGGAGAAGTCCTGAAACCATTCCCAAAGAATCAGAATTCCCATTTCTGCCCAGAGCATACTCTGGTTTTTTCTACCCTCCCCCCCACCCCCGGTTATCTGCTAAAATGAAAGAAGTCAAGTCTCGGCTTGTGGGTAAAGTTTTCTCCTTTTATTTTAGAGACACATTTAGAGATTACTCGTGTACGCGTAGAAGCCTGTCTTCCCCACCTGGTTTCTCAATCTGCTCGGCACCCCCAAGAACACTGTCCCCCCAACCCCTCCCAGCCCGCGGGGAACTCAAAGCGGCTGTTCTGTGCCCGTGCACACGTGTGTGTGTGTGTGTGTGTGTGTGTTGTCGTCTACAATGTGACTATTTAATAATTGCCAAAATATTTAGACTAGAGGAACGTCCAATGGGTCAGTTGGATTGTGACTGTCTTTTATGGTTCAGTTTGGTTTTTTAAATTGCTTTCTGTTAAATATGTCCGTAATCCCCCCACCCCCCATCTATTTGTATATAGTGCCATTTAAAAACTAAAAGGATGACTTGAATTCGTTGTTTTAACGTTTGACTCTTTTGTCTGTTTGTTTTATTGGTGCTTCTGCTGCCTAATGACCATTTTTGTTTTTGTACCCGCGGGGGAAGCCGGAAGGACTAGGTCCCCTGCCGGCCACTCCAGACTTGAGTTTATTGTAGACACTTGTGTTCTGAGTAAGTTTTGTTCCAGTATGGCCAACATGATTGTCTCTCTCTCTTCTCACCCTGAAAGAAAAGAATCTGTCTGGCTCCTCTTAGTTGTACCCTCGTATCTGCCTCTCTAATAAACGTATTTTTCTCAGCGTTGTGTATTTTAAATGATTTTTCACCTTTCCGAGAAAATGATTCTGTGTAATCCGGGTATTTAACTCTTTTGTCTTCAGTCATGGGGAACTTTTCCAGCCAAATGCTTTTTTAAAATTCTGCCCTCCCCCCCCCTCGCCTTTTAAGTGATGACACCTTCTCTGTCTCTCGCCCTGCGTGCACCTGAGGGCTTTATGAGTCTGTCTCTCCTTCCTCTCCTACCCCCTCCAGATGAAGAACTTTCACTGTTGATTGCTGAGTAGACGCTGAGTGACACGTTTCTCCTTTTCGCCAAGATTTTACTTTTTTTTTTGTAAAGCACCGAGAGTGTCGGTCAGGGAGAGAATCGGGCCTTGAAATTCCTTGCATCCTCCTGGGAAGCGGGTCATGTTTCTTTCTGCTGAGACTCGGCGGACCCAGAAAGAGGGGCCGGGGGTGGGTGGGCGTGGGTCTTCCGTGTGGGCCTCTCTTCCCTGCAGGGAAGGCTAGCCCCTGAGGCGACCTGAAACCGTGAAAGTTCCTTATCTCAGACGTGCCCCGTGGTAACACCCCACTGCTCTAAAGCTGTCCCCCTCCCGGGTGGCGCAGTCCACGAAGCAGACTGCCCGCCCTGGACCGCCGGCCTCCCTCTAAACACTTTCTCTTTCTGTCTTTTTGTGTTGTAGATTCCTAGAGGCGGTTGCAGGAGCCGGAGCCTCGGTGAGCCTTCCCAGGAGAAACCCTTCGGTCTGCTTGTCTCCGCAGGCCCGGGCGCCCGCGCACAGACGGCTCCCGGGCTGGGCCAGCGCGCCGCCCTCCGACGACATCTCAGCCTCAAGCCGCGCCCCCCCGACCCGCCACGCGGCTGCTTGCCGTTTTCTTTCTTTTCCTCCGACAGCATGCTTCTCGTGGCCCGGCTCCCCCCCACGGCCCGTCCGGCCACCTCTCCGGGGGCAGTTCTGTCCCTGTCCCCGTCCCCCCACCCCCACCCCACACGGGGCCACGGAAGGCAGCTGGACACGTGCTCCCTCCTTCCCGGGCCCCTGCCTTGGCCCTCAGTCTGCCTGGCGCATCCTGGCCCGTCCATGGTTCACACCGTGCCTTTCGTGAAAACTCCGCCACCGGTCTCCCCGGGGGAGACTAACAGAATCTGGACAAGGAGGGTCAGGCGTGCACCAGGCGGACTGAGCGCCCGGACGTCAGGGATGGGTTCCCGCGTCCCGAAGAGTCCGTTGACTCTTCGGTGGTCCTTTTCTGGTTAGGGGGCCTCACCTCATACTAAACATCGGCCCTTGCAACATTTCCTGGCCTGAGAGTGTCCGTGGGGGGGCGCTGGGGGACACGGAGGCACGCACACGCATGCATGCATCCCCTCCATGGCGTGACACGCGCGAGCACACACACGTTTTGATTGGGAGCCTGTGCTCCGTGGCCTGGAAAGGTCTGCACCGGAAGTAAATTCCATCTCCAGGGCCACACGCAGAAGCATCCACCTTTCACGGGGCGAGGGAGGGTCCCAGCCCACCTCCCTGCCATCGCCCTGTGAACGGGAGCTGCGGGACGTGGCACTTGAGCGAGCGTCTCACCTCGGCCCTAGCTCCTTGCAAAGTGACAATTCCCGTCTTCCCGTGAATTCCCGAGATTCGCATCTTAGGATTCTAGCGCTTTCCTCACCAAAGAGCCTGTGAGGCTGGCGGTCCTTCAGGTGGTCCTGCGGCCACGGCTTCCGCATGTTCTCACGTGCTCCGAGGGCCACGGAGACTGGATGGAGTTGGCTTTTTGAGCGAAGTTCCCTTCCTCTTGCGGATCCTTGAGGAAAACGTGAGGCCGTGTAGCCTGTGGCCAGTCATGCCTTAGAGCAGCCTAGCTTCCCTTCTCTGGTGCAGACACGGTCGGGAGGAGTCACTGGCTGCGAGTTTCTGTGAACGAGACACCATCCAAAGCCCAAGAAGGAAATCACCCTCTGTCTTCTCTCGTTCGGCTGTTGGTAACTAGGTGGTCACCTCGAACATCCTCAATTCTTCTCGACCTTTATGAATCTAAGACAAGGATGTCTTACGGGAGCCGAAGGGACAGAAAGGACAGGTGCTAAGGGCTGGGCCTGTGTTCAGTGGCCAAAACAGGGTTCCTCTCAGTAAACCAGGGTTGAGCTCGACCACACACCCCCTTCCGACAGAAACCTCTAGCAAGCAAATGCCTGGGGAAAGCAGGTGAAGAGAAGTGGCTTTGGGTTTAAAGGCGAGCAAGCAAGCGAGCATGAGCCGCCCCCTCTTCTGTCTCTCTGTCTCTGTCTCTGTCTCTCTCTTGCCCTGAAGGGGGCCAGGCCCTTCGGGTAAAGACTACCTGCCTATCTGCCTGGACGGCTGAGGCCGTGGGGGTCTCGGGGCTGCTCTGTTGGCAGCAGGCCTCCGTTCCCCACGGCGGCGGGAGCTCCTCCACCTTGTGAGAGGGCTGCTTGCCAGATGCCCCGGGGCGAGGGGGACCGGGCCTCCCCCTAGTCCCTGCAGACGTGCAGGTGTGTGGTTAGGCCGGGCCGTCCTAGCAGCTCCACGGAGGCTCCTCCGCCAGCCCCGGGGGTGTGGGGGGTGGGTGGGGTCAGGAATCTCTAGGAACTTCTGAATCTCACCAAGCCAAGCTGACCGCTCTCCACTCCACAAGGATGCTAAATGGTTTTTTTTAAATCGATTTTAGAGCCTCAGTAATGCATGTGCATTGCATCTTTCATATTCTGGGGTCAGGACAGATTCAGTTCTCACAACATAGGGAAAATGGTATAAACTGCAGTGATTTGTTCTTTTAGTGTCTGTTAAGCCCAATAGAGAATATGCTCGTATCTTGTAACCCCTGCGCCTTTTTTTTTTATTCCCTTCTGTACCACGTGCGTCCAGAAAGGAATGGATCCTTAGTGCTTCTCCGTGTTAGCCTTGGTGTTTGCCACCCCCCCCACCCCGCCTCTGGCGGCTCTGTGCCGCTGTGGGGCGGGGGGAGCGCTGCAAACCTGAGCTCATTCAAGGAGATAAGTCATTAGAGGATAGTTGAGGTGTATCCTTTACTCTGGGGATCCTCCTGGGAAATCATCTCTATAGGAGTATGGACCAGTTCCCGTAGAGTAGGGGAACTTCTCCATCTGCTTCTCGGGCCCCCCTCCGCCCCCCCACGCCTGTCGTTTCTCCACTGATGCTAGAATAGTGTTGTTGTAAGAATGACTAAGTTTTAAAGCACCTGCCCTGAACATGACCTAAAAACAACGTTTTTCTGCTGGAAAGAGAGGAACTTGTCATTCACCCGGTTTTTCCTTTGCAAGATAAAAAAGGCATGGAAAGCTGTCGTGGGATTTTCCTTCGGGGGTTTAGCACGCTCACCTCGGAAGCTTCCAGGCTGTGAGGCTCAGGCCAGATAAGCTGTAGCAGCTTATCTCGCAGCACAGAGGCCCCCCTCAGGCCTTCTGGTGACATCTGTAATTACAGGAGAGAGTTTATGGAACGCGAAAAAGTGACATGGATGCTAAGTATTTTTCCAGAAATCTTAGTTTCATACTTCCTCATACCTCTGCCTCCCCACACTGGTGCCGTGAAAACACTTCTTTAAAGAGTGGTCCAAAATTCTATTTTAGCCTGATGTTGAGCACCTTTAAACGTTTTGGTTTATTTGTGTGTGTGGCACTAATTCTAAACTTTGGAGGCATTTCAGTGTTGTAACGGCCCCCTGCCATTGTGAAGGTTCTGGAATTGCCCATTTGTCTCTGGAGATGGAATTAAACCAAATACAGTGCTTCCATTGGAAGGCTTATATTGACCTTGTAACTATATGTTAATCTTCTAAATGTTAAATAAAAGTATAACCTCTGTTACGTGGTCACGGGACTGTTTTGTGGCACGAAGGAAGAGGAGACCTCGGGCCCGGAAGGAGCCCGGGGCCGCTGGGTCTGGGGAGGG